AAATAAATCATCTTCTCTTTTCGTCATCTGCTAAGTGGATCAGTAATGACTCTACTGATTGACAAATTATTTTCTAAAATCATTAGCTTAACACATACATAAAATAAGTGTCTACAAACGGACAAAATTTTAATTACTTCGCCCTCTAGCGATGACTTGCATAACCTCAAACATATATATTTTGCACAACAAGTACACAGTCACACTTTCCTTCTTAATCCTTCACAGTTATCAGATTTGAGTCCGCAACTAATAATATTTATTGTTTGTTAAATTTATTTGCTTCGTCATTACTCATAACAACAATGCCTGAAATACATCTAAGTCACCGGCATTATAAAGTTTATCATAAAAAAATAGCTTTGTATTTTATTGTGCACACTCTGAGATTAATCATTAATTAATCCGGCAGATTATCAATATTTATAAAAATTTATTTATCACCAAAAGTTTTTTCGCTTTGCAAAATATCGTAACAAAATTTTCCGCGGTAGAGCATAACATATAAATACAGCTTACTCAATTATTCAACGGTGATGAAATAAATTTAAATTAAATATATTGTTAATTAAATGAATACTAATTGAAATTTGCTATAGATATCGTAATAAAATTTATAAAAATATCATTTCAATAAAAAAAAATATAAAGATTTCTACGATATACATTAGCTAGTACAGAATATTAATATCACCATAAAGAATCGATAAAAGACATAAATAAAGGTAACTAATTAAAATAGTTGGGATGAATGCATATAGCGTCTGCATAATATGCTGTAATGAGCGCAGTAGACAATGCAAGATAACATAAAGAGGAATGTGGGATATGAATGTAGCAGTGGTTAGCTAGTTTTACTGTATGCGGTCGCAACCGCCTATATATGCCCGATTGACCAGTACATCATTATTCAGCCACACACACACTTACACATATAAACGACACACAGAGGGTCAAGTAATCTCCATGATTCAAGTACCTTCCGTTAATTGTTACCAAAACGCTTCATGCTGAATTTATACATAAGCGTGTGTACAATTTTGTGGTTTGCGATAAAGTGTCGCACCTTATCGGCTATTTGTTCGGTCGTAACCGCAGTTTACAAGCCGTAATGAGTTTTATTTACAAAAGCTCGACAATTAAATTTGTCAGCGGATAATTGCACTGGTGCAAATAATTAAATGTTTCATACCATGTAATATAAGTTACATACTTGTAAATTTAAGCTTTTCTTGTAAGTATGATATTTCAAACAGTAATATTCGCTATGTGATAGTCCAAAATGTTAAAGTATAATTATCCAAATAATCAGATCCCAGAAAATTATACTAGTAAAGGTTCAGGTTAATACAGATCTATTATTTATTCTTGTGTTAATTTATTTTATCCAATTCAGCAACGTTTCGTTACGTATCGTAACTTCCTCAGGCTTCTAATAACAAACATACATAATATAAATTAAAATTAAAATCTTTTACAACAAATTTTACATCCAAAATAAATTAATAAATTAATAAATTACAAAATAAGATAAGCCGAATGGCTAACCTAGCCAAAAGTAATGCTACATTTATTATTATATTGACAGTTGTGTTAAATAATTAACTTATTTCAAGGTATAATTTTTGTAATTTATTAATTTATTTTGGATGTAAAATTTGTTGTAAAAGATTTTAATTTTAATTTATATTATGTATGTTTGTTATTAGAAGCCTGAGGAAGTTACGATATACGTAACGAAACGTTGCTGAATTGGATAAAATAAATTAACACAAGAATAAATGATAGATTTGTATTAACCTGAACCTTTACTAGTTAAAGTATAATAATTAAGAATTTTGACTTTGATATTTATAATTTCGTACCTAAAAAATGATCGCATGATATGTCAAAAATATAAATTACAGTTACTAAATTTCTATACAAGCGACGTCAATATTTACAAAATAAAATAGTAAATTTTAAACGTAACGCTAAAAATCAAACTATAATTATTGATTTGCTTGGACTGGTAAAATATATATTTTAAGAGTAGAATTATTACTGTTTCAAATGTTAAATTCTCCGAGTATGAGACCTTCCCCTTCTCCTCATAGTATAGACTATATATGAAAAGGCAATTTTTACTGTTTGAAACTGTAATTTTTTAAGATGAGAGAGTCGTTATTTACTATGTAGACAGCTATTAATCACATTTTCGATTTTAAATTATAAATAGTGGCTTTTACACTTTCTACATTAAGTTTTGTAATATTTACTGTAATATTGTTAATTCAACATTCTAGTGTGTTAAATCAACACATAAGAATGTGAAACTTTACACACTAGAGTGTAATATTCTGCACAAAAATTATTACACTTTACACAATGACGAATAATTTTTTACTGTGTGTGATGATACTGTTTGTGTAATTTTTACATAAGCATTTCTGCAATCTTGACATAAAATTTTTTTCTATGTTCATCCATTATATTCATCTACATATAGTACAGTATATCTATCTACATATACATCTTATAGGATCAATGTTTAATTTGCCTGATGGCGATGAAAAAGGTAAAACGAAAAATCCCATTTTTTGCATGGAAAAAGTTTCAAACCGGCTGAACATGCATCAAAGTTTTAAATATCAGCTTTATCTCTGTCTTGTTTTATTTATTTATATTTATTTATTTGCTGTGTATACGTCCGCCTCACTTTGCGTGCGAAAGTTCGCTGACAGATAAAATGGATTCGATTGTTTCATGAATATACATGTATTCCAACATGAACAATAAAATAAAGTGAAAGTGATATATATCTGATACTTATTCAATGTCATTTGCATTAGGCTTGCTCATTTTTCTTCCTCAGGTTCGCATTTAACTTTTTTATGCTCACTGTAATCATACTTAACATTTTACCGAATATTTTTCATGTTTTAATAAAAAAAAAAATCGGTCTCAGGTCTATAAATATATTGTAGCGTTCGCCTCTTTATCTGCCTCTGTGGCGCAATGGCTAGCGCGTTCGGCTGTTAACCGAAAGGTTGGTGGTTCGAGCCCACCCAGGGGCGATTTTTTTTATTGAATTATTAATTTATTTTTTTTTTTTTAACAAAATTATTTTTTATTGGAACATTTTTTGCTTTAATTTTTTTTGTAAAAAAAATTTTTTTTTAATTTTCACTCCGAGCAAATTTAATTTAATATTCAAGTTTCATAAAATCTATAAAAATATTCTATTGAAATAAATTTATTCAAGCAAACAAACGCTTGAACGGAAAATATTTTAAAGAGAGAATTGTTGGGGAATGACACAGAATACAGACACTGATAATTCTTTATCTTGTGTTGGAGTTAATGTTCTCGTAAGAAGTTCAAAGTCTGTCCGCTAGGTGTCTAAAACGACAAAGTTAGTTCCTAAGTAGACAATTATTGGGAAACTTTTATAACCGATTTGTGTGGAAGGAAATTTTGTCAATCAGTAGGGTCATTACTGATCCACTTAGCAAATGATGACAGTTGGAGATGATTCCTGTGATTATACTCCGCTCCTGGCGTCCGAACTATCGCACGGTTCGTCATGGAAATCCTGATGCTATTTTGATTGACAAATTTTCCTCAAAAATAATACAAATTTTTAAAAATAAAAAGAAAAATATTTTTAATATCTAAATATAAAATAATTTTTAGAGGTAAAATTTCGAATTTTCTTCTAAAAAAAATATAAGTATGTAAAATTATTAAATTGTCCTCATCAATAATTCAGTATTTTAAAAATAAAAAGAGCAAGATTATATTTAATTTTTTTAAGTATAAATAATAATTTCTTGAGGTAAAATATGAAATTTTTTCCTAAAAAAAAAATGATATTTTTGTTATTTCAGTTTTATAAAAAAATATCTGTATTTAAGATTGACAAATTTTCCTCAATAATAATTCAATATTTTAAAAATAATACAAAGCCGAAAATATTTAATTTTTCTAAACATGAAAATAATTTTTTTTAGGTAAAATATAGAATTTTTTTCTAAAAAAAAAAAAAATATTTTTATTTCAGTTTTATAAAATTAATTTAAGTAGTTAAGATTGACAAATTTTCCTCAATAATAATTTAATATTTTAGAAATAATAAATGAATAAAAATATTTAATTTTTCTAAACGCAAAAATAATTTTTTTTAAGTAAAATATGAAATTTTCTTCTAAAAAAAAATGAAATTTTTGTCATTTCAGTTTTATACAAAAAATATTTAATGAAAAGTAAAATTAATAAATTTTCTTTTTAATAATTAAAACAAAAAAATTTTGTTAAGTGGATTTAAAAATTTTTTTTAATTTTTCGATAGTCTCACAAATTTTCTTAAAATTCAATAATGAAAATTTTTATTTTACTAATATATAATTTCAAAAAAATGATATTTATTTTAAAGTGAATTTTAATTGAATTAAAAATTTACAATTATTTAATACTTAAAATTTTTAAAACAAGTAAAAAATTTTTGATTATTTATTATAAATCATAACATGACATTCAAATTAATTAATTGTGTATAGAAGTAAAACGTCAATACTAAAACATGAGAGTGTCATAACTCTAGTAACCTAATACAATAATTGTCTAGCCCAAATACATAATTTTAGAATCCATTTATCACTCGCCGTAATTTCACGTAATCAATAAATTAACTTCCACTAAAAACAACAACTAAATTAAAATAATTGCCGGGAACAAAAAAATAAATTATCACACTACATTATATTTGTTGACATTAATACTAGTTAAGAATCTGATATTGACAGAGGTTGTTAATCGGCAACTGAGTAAACATGATCAGTTTTATCATGTTTTGCTTCAATTTCCTGTATAACGCGCGATTTAAACCTCAAGCGGCCAATATTAAATTAATAGCCACCGCTGTCAACTCAAAACTAATTTCAACATGAAATTTAGATAAAATTATATTAAAAAAAAAAAAAAAGTTATTTCAATATTAGTAAAACATTCATCTACGTCAATGTAAACATTTATTTATATTATATTTTACGCTTTATGTCTCCAATAGTAAAAAGTCACGTACACAAAAAATAATCTCAATCAGTTGATTTTAATTTATTAAAAATTAATTTTCAACAAAAATGTGGAGATTTTTGTTAAAAATTTTTATTGTAAGCATTTTAATCCGGCTAGTAAATTCTAGAATAGTTACAATTGTAAGGACGAATAAAGGACGTGTGTTCGGCAGAGCTTTGCTGACTGTTCAATCGGGTAAAGAGTACGTCGCTTTCAAAGGCATACCGTACGCTAAACCGCCAACCGGCCGCCGCAGATTCAAGGTAACTTTTTTTGTTAATCTATTGATTGCTGTGATGTTGGTAAAAAAATTTAGCACTAAATAAACTATTAGCCACCAGAAGAGCCTGATAGTTGGGAGCCGACACTTTTGCGAGCTTTAACGGATCCAAATCCTTGCCCGCAGTTTGATATTAACACGCTGAGAACTATCGGGTATGAACATTGTCTGTTTTTGAACGTGTATACGCCTCGGGTAATTATTGATCATTAATTATAAATAATAATAATAATAATAAAATGTTTTTTAATATTTATCACGGAAAAAAATTCCTGTCAAAATTATAGAAAAATTTAGTTTTATTATTGTCAAGATATAGCTGTTTAATTTACATAAAAAAAATGTCAATTTACTCAAAAAAATTTTTTTAATTTACTTATAAAAAATGTAAATTTAATATGTGGAAAATTTACAGTGAAAAATTGTTGACTTTACATTGAAAAAAATGTAAATTTTACGTGTGGAAAAATGATTATGTTTAAAATTTTTTTATTTTAAATTAACTTGAAAAAAGTGTAAAATTAACGTGTGGAAAAATTCTTAAATTTTCACTTTGATGATTTTAATTTACTTAAAAAAAAAAAAATGTAAATTAAGCGTGTGGAAAAATTAAAAAATTTACACTTTAATAATTTTAAATTAATTTGAAAAAAAGTATAAATTTAATGGGTAGAAAATTTCTTTAATTTACACTTAAATAATGTTTAAATTTACTTGGAAAAAAGTGTAAATTTAGGGTATGAAAAAATTCTTAAATTTACACTTTATTAATTGTAAATCAACTTGGAAAAAAGTGTTACTTTAGCATGTGCAAAATTTTTTAAATTAACACTTAGAAAATTTTTAATTAAGTTGGAAAAAAGTGTTAATTTAGAGTGTAGAAAATTTTTTTAATTTACAACGAAAAAGATATAAATATCGCATTAGAAAATTTGTAAATTTTACATTAAAAAAATTAATAATATAAAAGTATATAATAAATTTCATTAAAAAAATTTCTATAATTTTCAAAAATCGACGGTCTAATTAACAATTTGTCTAACTCCTTATTTTTTAGAGGGTAATTTTTTAACATTTTAATGTAGCAATAGTCCAATTATAAATTATTTGAATGATTCAAACTAAAATATTATACCTTTATTAGATATTAATGATTTTAAAGTGATAATAAATTTTGAACTAATTGTTTTTTTCGTACAAATGGAAGACTCACTAAAATGGAGTTTAGACAATTTGCTAATTAGAAAGTCGAAATCATTTTTTTCCGTGTATAAATTATATTATCAAGTATTAAAAAAATAATCTAAATAAAACTAAGTTAAAACATTTAGGTTCGATCATATGACATTCGATTGCGAGCAGTGATGGTCTGGATCCACTTCGGCGCCTTCATATCCGGCTCGATTGACAGCAACTTCTACGGGCCTGATTTTCTGATCGAAAAGGACGTAGTAGTAGTCGCGATGAACTATCGATTAGGAGCCTTAGGCTTTCTTTCCCTAAACCACGCGAATTGCACGGGGAACGCTGGACTAAAAGACCAACTTTTAGCGCTTAAATGGGTCCAGAAGAACATAAAGAGTTTCGGCGGAAACCCGCGAAAAGTGACGATTTTCGGGGAAAGTTCTGGAGCAGTATCTGTTCAACTTCACAAATTATCAGGTGCTTCGAAAGGATTATTCCGGGCGTCGATAGCAATGAGCGGCTCGCCACTCAATTCATGGGGTTTTTCTTCCTCGAGGGAAGCTGAAAGCGACGCTTTTAGTTTGGGACGTAAACTTGAAATTAATACTGTTGATAAAGACGTGTTGCTTGAGAAACTTTATCAGAAAACTTCTGAAGATATTGTGAGCGCCACTAATTGGCTCATTCCCGACCTGGTAGATACTTTTTATCCTTACGGTTAATGTCATTTATTTTATTACAATTGTAATTTCTAATTAATGCGCGATCGTTTAAAGATGATCTTCAATAAAAGCCTGCCGTTACCGTTTAAGCCGACGGTCGAGATTCCAGTGAGTTCTAATGGAAGTTATTTTATTACCGAATGTCCTATTAAGAAGTATAGGGAAAGAAAATTTCACCAAGGGCCACAAATTATAGGATTTACCAGTGATGAAGCTTTATCCTTTACTAGACGTAAGTTTTAAAATAAATTGGTCATTAAATAATGACACATAAAGGCTTGACTTAATTTTAGTAATTAAAAATTGAAAAAAAAAAAAATATTTGCAAAATTTCATTTTTTTATGAATTTTTAAAATGTATATTCACAATATATACATGCAAAATCAATTAAAAAAAATTTTTTTTTTTTTTCAATATAATTTAAAAAAATTGGATTTTACGAAGATTTTTATATTTAAAAATTTTTTATTTTATTTAAGATATTTATAAATTAATTTTTTTTTATTGAATTAATTTTTTTTATTAAATTGAATCAAAAAATTATTTAAAAAATTTCATTTTTTAACAAATTTAAAAAATATATATTTACAATATATTTGTGTAAAATCTGATTAAAAAAAATTTTTTTTCAATATGATTAAAAAAAAAATGATTTTTACGAAGATTTTTTTATTTAAAAATTGAATCAAAAAATTATTTTTAAAATTTCATTTTTCAATAAATTTAAAAAATATATATTCACAAAATTTTTGTGTGAAATTAATTAAAAAAAATTTATTACCACGATTTTTAAGGAAATTAAATTTTTTAATAATTTTTGTATTTAAAAAATTGTTCAATTAAAATTTTACCTCTAAATTAAGACTTTAAAAGTAATAGATTTTTTTTTTAGACACTTAAATTAATGTTGAAAAAATTTGTAATTATTCTTTAATAAAAAAGAGACCGTGTTTTTAATTTAAAAGAATTTTTCTAGCCGTGGGAATACTGTTTCAAATAATCGGCCAGCAATTAACTGACAATCTTCTTCAACCGGCATCAGATTTGAGTTTCATAGCCGGAATAGACCTCACACAAAGATATCTAACAGCTTTCGGTAAAGCTCCGATTTATTACTACCGTAATTCCTTTGATTACGATCAGTCGTTGCACAAAATCGAAGGCAACAACAATTTGTCGGGCACTGGACATGCAGATGATGTCGCCCATATTTTTTACATGCGTTCTAAACGCCAGCCGGTTGGTTATTGGAGCGATATTGGGATGCATCGGGAAAAAATGGTCACAATGTGGACGAATTTTGCTAAATATTTGTAAGTTTCATTTAAAAGTTTTGCTTAGTTTAGAATTTTGATTTAAAAAGAAATTTTTTGCAGAAACCCAACGCCTAAGGGGAAAGTTGATCCACTTTTGAAGATAAAATGGTGGCCGTCGGGAAAAAAAGGTCTTAATCTTGAGATAGGGAAAGTTTGGAAATTGCAAAAAAGACCTGTTAACAAAAGAATCCTCGATAAGGAACGAGAATTAAATCAATGTTGATATTTTATTTGATTTATGAATTTTTAAGTTTGATTTTTTATAATTAATTTAAAGAAATAGAAAATAACATAGTAAAATAATTAAATAAATATTTTTTATACAATTAATAGAGTATCGAAATTGAAAAATTAAATTATCAATTACGATCCCACCTCAGGCGATATTTGTTTGAATAAAATTTTTTTTTTTTAGTTATAAATATAAACTGAAAAAAAAACAGAATCGATAAATTTCAATTAGTATTCATTTAATTAACAATCCGAACAAAAACAGTTTCACTGTAAAAAAAATCGCGTCAAGTCCACGTTCATAAGACTATTAAGAAAAAAAAATTAGTTTTGTTCTTTACAAAAAGATATAAAATAAAAAAATTAAAAAATCCAAGTAACCGATATGATTGTTTATGATTTTCAGAAATTAAAAAAAATTTTGCTGTAAATTTAAAAATTAAAAAAACAATTTTGGAACGTACTTGGTGTGCGTCATATTGTGTATTTCAATTTTTTTAAAGTCCTAGTAAATAGATTTTACGAATTTAGTTAAAAGTAAAATATTTTGCAACCGCGCACACCAAGTACGTTCCAAAATTTTTTTTTTATTTTTAAATTTACAACAAAATTTTTTCTTATTTCGGAAAATCATATACAATCATATTGGTTACTTGGATTTTTTAATTTTTTTATTTTATGTCTTTTTGTAAAGAAAAAACTAATTTTTTTTTTCTTAATAGTCTTATGAACGTGAACTTGGCGCGATTTTTTTACTGTGAAACTGTTTTTGTTCGGATTTTAGTATTTTTTGTAATTATAATAAAAGTTTCCAGTTGGTACCAACTTAAATCTTGCGTTGGCTGCATTTTTTATAGTAAACTATTCCCTTGAAGCTACAGTTTATGTAAAAATAATTCCAGCGCACCCTGGCGGGTGTAGATGCAAGTTCTGAAATATCTTTTTTTTTTTAACTGTAGTTTCCCATCTAATGAAGGATTACTATGCATTCTCGAATTATTTAGTCTGTGGCAGATCACTTTGCCCATCGAAAAAAAGTCAGGATCGAAATTTTTGCGTTGCTATAGTTTGTGCTGATTAAATTTAGTAATTTCAAGTAAATTAATTGTTATAAGTGAATATATTTAATTAATAACAGTAAAATAAAGTATGAATTACTGTTATAATATACAATTTAGGAAAAAAAAGTACCGTAGAATTAAATAAAATTTTGCAACCTCAAAATACCGTTCTGCTTACAGTAAACACAGTCGGTAGTCTGGCGCTCCGTTGACAACGAATTTGAACGGAACTTGGCGCCAGATTCTACCGAATCTGTGGATATATTTAATTTAAACTAGAATTTAATTTTTGCGCGCAAGCGCGCGTCTTGACTATAGAGTTTGCATATATTTTCATGCTTATGATATATTCGACCAATCACGTTACGAATAGTTTGATGCCACATACATTTCATCTCAATTTTATATTAGGATTTATTTCATCCCCGTTGAATAATTGAGTAAGCTGTATTTATATGTTATGCTCTACCGCGGAAAATTTTGTTACGATATTTTGCAAAGCGAAAAAGCTTTTGGTGATAAATAAATTTTTATAAATATTGATAATCTGCCGGATTAATTAATGATTAATCTCAGAGTGTGCAAAATAAAATACAAAGCTATTTTTTATGATAAACTTTATAATGCCGGTGACTTAAATGTATTTCAGGCATTGTTGTTATGAGTTATGACGAAGCAAATAAATTTAACAAACAATAAATATTATTAGTTGCGGACTCAAATCTGATAACTGTGAAGGATTAAGAAGGAAAGTGTGACTGTGTACTTGTGCAAAATATATATGTTTGAGGTTATGCAAGTCATCGCTAGAGGGCGAAGTAATTAAAATTTTGTCCGTTTGTAGACACTTATTTTATGTATGTGTTAAGCTAATGATTTTAGAAAATAATTTGTCAATCAGTAGAGTCATTACTGATCCACTTAGCAGATGACGAAAAGAGAAGATGATTTATTTGATTCAACTTCTGCCTGACAACCGAACTATCGCCGGTTTGTCAGGATTTTAATGATGCTTATTTGATTGACTAAATTATTATAATATTAAAATTTTTAAATAAAAAAAAAAATTAATTTTTTTTTACAAATTTAAAACCATTTTTTTTTTTTTATTAAAAATGCAATTTTCCCTTCAATCTAAAATTCCAAATTTCTCTACATTATTTTCGTTGAAATGACATTTGTAAACGTAATTAAGTTATTCTCATAATAAAAATTTTTATTAGATGAAAATATTTTTTTAATATTTGAATTTTCATATTAAGTTTTAGTGAATTTATCCAAAAATATTTACGAAATTTTGAATCATTATTTTCCAACTTTTTTACTGGATAATTATTTGTTACTCAATGATGAAAATTATAGCAAGCTTCTTATCGTTGATACAATCTTTATTCTTCTTTTATTGAGTCGTTAAAGTCTTTGGAAACTAAAATTGGAATTTTGATTTTTATTAAAATATTCCAAACATTTAAAAAAAAACTTTAAATTTCAAAAATTTTCATGCTCTAATATTAATTATAAAATAAAAATTTATCAATAAAAATTTTTTTAAATAGGCTTCAATAAATTTTTAATCCTTTTTTTTGATAGAAAAAAATTTAAATAAATATATCAGTAATGTACAGTCTATGATGTTCTCTCTTCTCTTAGCAAACAAATTCATTCTACAGAGCATTCCACTCTTGCGAGTGTCTCTTCCAGTTACTCAGCTCGAGGACTAATTAAAAAAACCCCTAGTGAATTTTCCTTACAGTGAGTAAAATGTTTTTTACACGTGTATATATGTATATATTTATATTTATATTTATATATCTACCTCTGACAGCTTTAGCCACAGGAAAAAAGTAACTTGCCCATTAGCATCGCTCAGAGCAACTTTTAAGTCGTTTCCCAGTTTTTTACCTTCTTTATACTTGGTAAATAAGACGCACAAATTAAAATAAACCCAAACAAAACTCTCTGACTCCAAATAAAAAAATTCTCGCTTTTCTCATTAAGACCGTATTTAAATCCTGTCAATATTTATCAACTTTTAATATAGATACTGTACACTTTTTTTCATGTCAGAGGAAATTTAAATTTAATAGTCAATTGAGTTGAATTTTAATTAACTTTGTCAGTAATACCAAAAAAAAAAAATAGATGCTTTTTCTTTTTAATTATTTTCTAATTAATTTATGTCTTAGCAAATACGGAGAAAAAAATATGTCAAAATGATCGTGAAAATTTTCATGAATGTAATTTTTAAATTATGAAACTGTCAAAAGGAAAATGTAAATTTTTCATTGCAAAAATTATTAAATTTACATTAAAAAAAATTTGTATGATATAAAAAATTTATTATGATAAGTATTTAGTCTGTATTCGAAAATGCTCTATCTCTAGATACATAATTAAGAAATGACCTTGTATCTTGTAAAATATTAACATTTTTAAAGATAAATAAGCTCATCCCGATATTACACTCATCGAGACCTTTCATTTGAGTACCCACATCAATTTTTCATATATTTATATATATTATATATATGTATTTATGAAAAATATATCAAAATGCATGTGGGTACTCAAATGAAAGCTCTTGATGAGTGTAACATCGGGATGAGCTTATATGTTTAAAAATGTCAATAATTAAGAACTTTCATATCTTGTCAACTAATGATATTTTTGAAAATATTAGCTCATCCCGATGTTACACTCATCGAGACTTTTCATTTGAATACCCACATCAATTTTTCATATATTTTATATATTTATATATGTGTATATATGAAAAATATATCAAAAATGCATGTGAGTACTTAAATGAAAGTTCTTGATGAGTGTAATATCAAGATGAGCTTATACTTTTAAAAACTTCAATATTTAAAAAAGTACAGTTCAATTTAATAAAAATTCTTAACATATTTTTTTAGTAAACATTCCATAAAATTCTTCCGTAATACTATCAAAAAAAAAATCCTTTTAAAATGCCCCCAAGTGTCCTTTCCTAAAAGCCCATCTCTCGAATTTCTAATTAACCCGTCTCCAAGCACGAGTTAATTTTCCTCTTACCTCCCACCCAAGTTAAATTTACTGTCAAAGTAAAGCATGCTACTTTCGATAATCGAAATAAAAACTCATTAATTTCCCGAAGAAAGAGGAAAGAAGAAAAGATTTAGGTATAAAAGATCAGTGGAAGGAGTAAGCGATAGAGTTCACTGAGAGAGGTCGAGTACTGGAGTCATTACTGGGACAAAGGGAGCGGCCAATCGTGAAGAGAAGACCCGTCAGGATGGTTCTTCCTTCGGTTCCTCCAGTCTCTCGTATTTATATAGAACATAGACTCGGTACAGTATATAAACTCTCCTTATATGTATATATATATATATATAGACCATTCACCATTCTACTCCTACAAGACACGGAAAAGCAGAGTGTTCTGACACACGAACCACCGGGACAGTGTGTATACCCAAGACAAAGCCAAAGAAAACGACTAAATGTTGATAAAAAATATTTGACGAGCTTCAGAGACAAGCTGTTGCAAACAGAAGCTTTACTATATTCTGGATTTACAGCACGGGTGTTAATTCTAGTGTCTAGTCTCGACGCGAGGGGCGCTACTTGCATAATACCAGTACTAGTACTAGTGCTTCTTACAATTGTTCTGACTGCATAACAATAGCAATTTTGGGCGAATAATTCTGAAAAAATCCAGGAAGAATTTAAATACTTTCCTTATTGTAACTGTTTGAGTGTCGATCCAATCTCCAATCGCAGAATGGCGTGGGCTAAATTTTCGTAACTTGCCAGAACAGAACGTTGGGGTTAGAACGTTCTATAGAACAGAACATAGAACACAGAACAGCGGAACTTAAACTCGACATTATAGTAGTTGTTGTATCACGCAAGGGCTGGCTTATTCCTTCATTCGCTAATACAGGGTGTA